CAGCTGTTCCCCCCAAATATTCAACATCTGTGGTTTGGCAATAAATTCTATACCATGATTTTGGTTGTGATATATCTTAAATGGTATATCACAAATGTGAGTTTTAGTTATTTCCCTACTATAAACAGTATAAAACTATTTCTTGATCCCAGAAACAATCCATAAGAGACTGTAGGAACATTGTTTTCAGCTATAGAGCTACAGCCAAAGAAAAAAGTAGGTATGGATTTAATAATATTATAATCAGGAAGTACATGGTGAAGTCAAGAATCCCAAGAAGTTATGACCTAGATCTGGCTCTGTGAGTAAATAGATGGATTTTAGGGAGCTTGTTCTACACTAATCTAGTCATCAGACACATTAAACAAAGGAGCCAAGTCCAATAGAAATGAAGAGAGTCTACTCCACAGAGTTGTTGTGGGGTTGAGTAGAATGAATGAAGAATGTGTAGAACAAGGTCTGGTACACTGAAGTCAGAAATATTAGCTCTTCTTCAGACTGTTGTGAAAGTGATCAAGAGAGTATCCAGTCATAGGGTTAGTAAAATTCCTGCAGCCACTATCAGCAAGAATGATAGTTTCTGGATCTTCAGAGGAAGCCTGCCTTTGTCAGGGGTCCTCACTTCCATCAGTGGGAGGCAGGTGTTGAACAGTGCTGACTCTGGCAAGATACCCAGAGGATACAGTGTATCTCTCTCCAAAACACTCATAACTTCACTACCATTCAATCCTTTGTATGTACTAGAAATCATGTCACAGTGCCCTTTATAACTGCACACACTACCTTTTCTGTCTCATTTTTTAGTCTCTAATTCTGTAAGAATCTAGACATTTTTGTTTTTATTTTCTCCACTTGAGAATCATCAAGAAAAACCCCTTCCATTTTTGATTTTTATTTTCTTTAGCTATATCCTGATAATATTACATCTTTAAAGCCTTTTGAAATTAGTGATTGTTTCTTTTTCTGAGTCCCTTATATTATGGGGACTGGCCATTTTTCCCTGCCATTTTTTGTCTCTTTTAGGAAAACATTCAGTTCCAATCTCAGTGTCTCAGACTTTTTATTCTCTCTCTCTTCTCTCTCTCTCTCTCTCTCTCTCTCTCTCTCTCTCTCTCTCCCTCCCTCCCTCCCTCCCTCCCTTCCTCCAAATCTTAGTGTTTCTATTGCTATGAAAAGACAAAATGACCACAGCAACTCTTATAAAGTAAAGGCATTCAATTGGTGTGACTTTCATTTTCAGAGGTTAAGTCCATTATCATCATGGTGTGACATGCTGGTGTGCAGGTAGACATGGTCATGGAGAAGCAGCCGAGTGTCCTACATCTTGACTTGCAGCCAACAGGAAGTGGTCTGTCTCACTAGGAGTATCTTGAGCATAGGAGTCCTTAAAGTTCATCTCCACAGTGACATACTTCATCTAACAAGGCCACACCTACTCTAACAAAGCCACATCTCCTAATACTGCCAGTCCCTTTGGGGATCATTTCTTTCAAACCATCTCTCTCTCTCTCTCTCTCTCTCTCTCTCTCTCTCTCTCTCTCTCTCTCTCTCTGTGTGTGTGTGAGAGAGAGAGAGGGGGGGGGGAGGGATTGATTACTGGTGTCCGTGTGATAGTACCTATGGAATTCTAGAGACACTCAGAATTTATTTAAATAATTGCATATCCTCCATTGTGATAACTTGACTTTCTCTTTTCTACTCTTTCTTGGCCATGCATTTCTGTGTCCTTGCCTTGATCTTATCATTTTTCCCTACTACAAACCCTATGAGATTCAGACATTCTATCTTGCAATTACTACTTTCTTTCTTGGACCTATTATTAGTCCTCCTCTCATTTGGCTTATTATATCTTTTGACATAATTGAACACATTTTTAAAAAATGTGTTGGCTCCATAACTCTTACTTTGATTTTTTTTTTTCTGCTTACAAATGTCTGCTCTTCTTTGTGAATTGCTACCCATATCCCTGGCTTGCCCTACTACTGTTTTTACATGTGTTGGGGAGTCAGGGATAAGGGGGGAGGGATTGTGCTCAGATTTCAAAAGTTTTAGTTTATTTTTGTCCTGCCTCATTTTGTATCATGGATTTAAATATCATTTGTGTGATGTAGAAACTTAGCCAATCTATTTAATTTTGCTGAGCTTCAAACTTTCCTTCAAAATAAAGGCACAGAGTATAAGAGCAGGACTTTGTAGAGACCCAACATAATAAAATACTTGGAGCAGGGAAGCTATTATTCAAGGATAGTTTGGACTCATAAGTCAATTGTAGGATTGAATGAGCAGCTAACATTTTTATCTGTACTCAGACTTGGTGACTAAGTAGTATGACAGTGGTTTTATTTGAAGTGAAATTTAAATTAATTAAAATATTTTGAGTGTTATCAGAAACCAAATATCCTAGGAGAATGTGTTTTATTTCAATGTAGACTTTAGCCGATGCTTTATTACTCTTTAAGAGAGTACCTAGGCATCACTGTCTCATCTTTATACCATAAGTGTAGGAATGAAAGAGCTTAGTTCATAGTAGGCACTCCGTAAGTGTTAATTTCTTTGTGGCTGCTTTCAGAGATTATTTCCCATCAACACTGAATTTTAATAGATTTTGTATTATTTAGAGGATGTGTCTAGATTATTCCTGTCTTAGTCAATATTCTATTACTGTGAAGATACACCATGACCACAGCAACTCTTATAAAAGAAAACATTTAATTGGTGCTGGCTTACAGTTTCAGAGGTTTAGTTCATTGTTATCATGATGGGAGGGAAGTATGGTGGTACACAGGCAGACTTGGTGCTGAAGAGATAGCTGAGAATTCTACATCTGGATCTATAGGTAGCAGGGAGAGAGAGAGAGAGAGAGAGAGAGAGAGAGAGAGAGAGAGAGAGAGAGAGAGAGAGAGAGGCTGGACCTGGCTTGGGCTTCTGAAATCCCAAAGCCCACCCTCAGCGACATACTTCCTCCAACAAGGCCATACCTATGCCAAAAATGCCATACCCACTCTGTCAAAGCCACAATTCCTATTCTCTCTCAAGTCCCACCACTCCCTAATGACCAAGCACTCATATTGGAGCCAATGGGAGCCATTCGTATTCCAACCACTACACTTCCTGTCAGGCCACTATAAAAAATATGGTGTTTCATTCCTTAGTTAAATTGTGGAATACTGGAGTCATACTGCAATAGGATTTTAGAAGATGGATTCTCTCTGATATCTGTTTGTATTTTCTTTTTTATAACGTAGTATAATAGATTTTTGTCAAGATTGTTTATGAGACAGTTATCAGTTACTAATTACCTCTTCCTTCCTTTATCCCCATTCTTCCTTCCTTCCTTCCTTCCTCCCTCCCTCCCTCCCTCCCTCCCTCCCTCCCTCCCTTTCTACCTTTCTCTCCTCTCTCTGTCTCTGTCTCTCTCTCTTGGTTTTTATTTTATATATGGTCTTCCTATATAGGCTAGCTGCCCTCAAATTCACTGTGTATGCCAGGTTGGACTTGAATTTGTGATCCATCTGCCTCAGCTTCCTAAGTGTTATGATTACAGGTTTATACTCAGCCATCAAATAACCTCTTGAACATCAGAAGTTTTATTGTCTTTTCCCCATTGGCTAAGGTGAGCCATAAGATACTCAAAATAGAAAAAAAAAGACCCTTCCTATCAGCAGATGTTATTTTAAATATAACCGTTCATTATCAGGCAGACTTACACTAAGTCAACTGAAAATTTCCTCCTTAAAACAGATTCATTTGTTTCTAGAAATGTCATGGTTCTCTCAGTCTCTCAAGTAGGTAGCTTTTTCTTAAAAAGAAGTTTCTTTAATTAATTTATTATGAATTTATGTGTTAATTCCCTTTGATTACTTCTATAAATGCTGTTCCTTTAGAGGACCCTAATATACTACATACTATCATATAAACTTTCTCTAATGATATAAGCCTTTAATAGTTAATTTAATCTTTGAGACATTATTTGATTGGAGGCCTCAGTCATTGATACACAGGTTTTCTAATTGAAAAATCAAAAATAATAATTGATTACATTAAATTGAATAAAATATAGTATGGAAATATAAAATAAGAAAGTTAAAGTTGATGAGCTTGAGAATTCTTTAGCAACCACACACACACACACACACACACACACACACACACACACATACACACACACACACACACACACACACTAATTACTATGTGGTCCTGGATGACATTCTCAGGTCTAAGAAAAATGTTTGCTTTGACAGTAAGTATACTTTCTCTTCCTTGACAGAGTAATGCTATATACAAATGAAGTATATAGAACTTTGTTTCTTAAATGTTAAAGAGTAATGTGAAGTATATAGGCAGATAGCTTACTAAAAACAACTTTTATTATAGAAAAGGAAGTTTTGAAAGTCTACATTCCTTTCTCATTTGATTACTAAATGCCTTAAATAATGCAGTTATTTTCAGTTTATATCTGTCTCACAGAGAAGGTATTATCATATAAATAAGTACTTAAGTTTTAATAGGAACTACTTGTTCAATGTCGTGGTAATGCCCGCATTACCGATACCCGTTTACCATGTCTGAGCGAAGGGCTGCGGATTAATCCCAGTAATCAGCATACCTGGAGAACTTACCGACGTCACCGCTCCGTGTGTTGAGTTCTGAATCCTCTTCAACCCCTTACCTGGTGTCCTAAGTTTTCTTCCCGGGTTTCGGCACCAGTTGCTGTCCGAAATTACCTTCCCGGGTTTCGGCACCAGTTGCGGCGTGCTCCTCGGCCAGCGAGGAAGAACAACCACCACGTGAGGATTCTTCTCAGATCACACTTTATTGGAGTGCCTCTTGGTTAAGGGAGAGCGGGAGGTGAGGGGCGGCCAGTGAGGACTAAATGCACCTGCTTATAAAGGGAATCAGGCAAACATGCCGTACTGTGATTGGGTCCCGCCAGAATGCTAGCACAGGGAGCCACGGGATAGGCTGAGGACATAAGGCCAATTACCATACTTGTGCATCATAGCCAAATATGGAGTTGTTTACAGCTAGGCTACCAGGAAGCCAGCGCCATCTTTGAATGGCGGCTCCCTACAGTTCAACTCAGTGATTTCTGAAAAGCACTGCAAAATTGTGTTCATCTCCATCTTAAAACCAGCAAGACAGCAAGCTAAAATAGGCAAAATTTGATTGTAGATTGGGGGCTAGTTGGCCTTCTTGGTTTTGTAATTAAAAACATGTTGATGATTTTATTTAATTTTTAATTAAAAATTACTTTTATTTCTTACACATGGACATGTAGGTGCCATGGTGTGTGTGTGTAGAGGTCAAAGTAAAGATTTCAGTAAGTTCTATCTTTTCACTATGTGGATCCCAGAGATTGAACTCAGGTTTCCAGGCCTGGCAACGAGTAACTTTACCCATGGAGTCAGTTTTGCTGATCTGGAATATGTTCATGATCTTTTGAACAGTCCATGGAAGGTAACAGGGATATTAGTCTCCACTTCAGCCCTGGCAACTTCACTCAAGTCTTTGGCATTCAGAATCAGGAGGTATGCAGGCTTTTGTCCAGCTCCGGGGCTCACCACCACGCTCAGAACCACACCTGTTAATTAAGGCAGTTTTGAAATTTTGAAATCAGATCTTAATATTATTTGGCATTGAGATTATATAGACAGTAAGGTGGTATTACATTAAATATAGAAAACCATGTGACTTAGCTTGTTCTGGCTCTTCAATCACCTGTCTGTATGACCACTTGAAGGAGTACTAGATCTAAACTCTTTCTTCCTGATTAGCACTGCCCCAGGAAGGGGCTGACCTTGTCTTTGTCTCTTACAGCTGCAACCACAGTATCTTAGTACAATGACCAAAGTACAAACTCAATGTTGACTAAGTTAGTGGATCTATGTTCTTATCTGTAGTATAAGACCATAGTCTTTGCTCTATTTACTAGAAAAAAGTTATGATAAAGTAAAAATGTATACTTTAAAACTTTTAAAGCAGAAGAGTCTGTTATAATTATAATTTTCAAGACCTATATGTAAGTTTACTTCTTTCAGACAAAATGAAACATACCTTTTACACTTTTGAATTGTGGGAGGCCAGCTAGGAGACTAGCTCCCACATTTTACCCCAGGGATAAGAGATTTAGATAGAAGGATAGAGGGGAGAGAAACAGAAACACAGGATAGCCTTGGGAGAGACTGGATCCCTATCCACCAGCCCCTTCTGTCTCTTCTAAAGGGCTATTTATAAGAATGCCAAGGGGTGGAGCAAAAGACCTCCCCCCAGCACAGCCAAGTGCAGAACTTTTCCAATCACTGGTAATCATGCACATGGTCAAGTAATCTTCTAATGCAGCTCTGCTGGGTAAAGCAAGTTCAGATCTCACCAGGAAACCTTTGTGGGCCTCCACATTGAATAAGTGGTATGAATGTAAAAACTTTATGTCAGAAAATGGTCCCATAATTATTTATTTCATTCTTCTACAGTTTCCAATATTTTATTAAATTAATCATTCAGACTATAATATTTCCCTGTCCTTCCTTGCATTGATTTTTAAAAGTTATTTTGTTATTTTTATGTGTATGAGTGTTTTGCCTGCATGAATGTTTTGTAGACCTGTATGTCTGGTACTCATAGAGGCCAGTAGAGGGTGCTGGATCACCTGAGTTATAGCTGGTTGTGATCTATAATGTGGGTACTGGGAATTGAACCCAGTCTTCAACAAGAACAGTGCTCTTAAACACTGATTCAGCTCTCCACACTCCCTATCATTAATGCTTAATTGAGACTGATGCTATGTAATGCAGTTTTTCAATTATATGCTGAGGCTCTGAATTCTTCCTTAGCCCCGACTTATTAAAACAAAGAAACAAACAAACACGAGTTCCAGAGCTGCACATTCATTGATCAGCTAGAATATTCTATTTCTCTTATTAGAACTCTATCTGCTTTTTTTAGAAATATATTTTGGTCAGGAAAAGCAAATACCTAGAATTCTTGCAATCACACCCTTTTCTCATCCCTTCCATTCAGAGCTCCACCATGACACAGAATGTATTTTGCTGTGGTTGTTGTTGTTTGTTTGTTTGTTTTTTAATATTAGCAATCAACAAGACCTGACTACAGATGAAAGTCACTTTCAAAGGAATTCAATTCTTGAGTACCATTCACAGTTTAAGAATCACTTTTGAAAATTAGCGAATAATCAACCCAACCCCTTTCCTAATATTAAACACATGTGTTTCAGCACAAAAAGAAGTTCAGACACATGAATTGATTTCATTACCATCATCCTCTTCTAGGGCTTCTGGATGAGAAACAAAGATGGGTTCAGATGGGTAAGAATCTGGCTCTTGCCACATCCAGATTTCTTTAGTTTTGACATTCAGCTTACAGAGCTGCTTGTGCCCAAGAAAAAGCAATTGGTTAATTAATGAGCTGCTTTACTTGACTAGCACATGATTCAAAGTTCTATTGGGTGTTAGTAAGGTGTTTCATTACCTTGTCTGGTACAAAGTGATTCAACCCAAGTCCATACGCATAGGTATAAGGTTTTCCTCCATATTTCTGATAGTTGATTTGAGGAAATTCAAAGGCTTCAAAACAGAACACAGACATAGGAAAACTCAGTCTCTTTAAGTGGAACATCTGTTCCCTTCTCAGTGATGTTTTCTCTATATTACTTACCTTGACGGGGCCCTGAAAAGAGAACCTCAGGTTCCAGCCAGATGGTCTCATCACTGCACAGAATTGCTGTGGCAGTTGTGTGGGCAAGTGTGACTAAATTCCTGCCTGTGTCAGCCTTAGGAAGAAGATAATAGAGACTTCAGTGAGCAGGGAAGAAAATCCAAGCATCTGTAAATGCAGACTTCTTAAATTTTGCCTCCTCTTTCAGGGCTCATCATGTGGGGAGTAATAACAAAACAAAAAGCAGTCTAGGAGCCTGGCTACTGTATCAGATTTGAAAATCTCTCAGATACCATATTGGTAGGTTATAAGTAACCCACTGGAAACATGCTGTTTAGGGTTAAATGTTTGCCTCTACTTGAACGTGATAGCCATATTGATTAGCTTAAAATCCTGGATAATGGTCTTAGACTTCAGAAAAGGTGGCATGTGACACTGTCCTTTCCTAAAACTCAATTCTTCTATGTAGCCAATCAATCAGGCAAATCTGTTTCTTAACAACTTACTTACTTCTGTGTGGAGGTCCAGCTTCCACATTTATTTACCCCATGGACTCTTGAGGAGTGAGGAATAAGAGATAGAAATATAGAGGAGAGAGACAGACAGAAGCACCAGATAGCCTCGGGAGGGCCTGGGTCAAAACCCACCAGCCCCTTCTGTCTCTTCTAAAGGGCTTTTAAAGGAATGCCAAGGGGTGGAGCAAAAGACCTCCTCCAAGCAGAGCCAAGTGCAGACCATCCCAAACACCTGGTAACTATGCATGTGGTCAAGCCATCCCCAAATGCAGCCCTGCTGCATAAAGCAAGCTAATAACTCACTAGAAAACCTTTGTGGGCTCCCACACTGTATGCTAGGTACCATGCTAGGTGCTAGGAGGGCAAAGGTTATTTAGGGATTCTCCAAATAAATTCTCTATTACAAATGCAATTAGCATGACTGAAAACATCTTGGTCATTTGATTACTTCATGAGCACTTATTAAGCATCTCCTGTAGAACATGGATTATATTAGGTGTTGGGGAGACAGCTATAAGAAGGGCTGAAATGGCCACATGGCATGTGAATATAGAATTTGAGAAAACACATGAAAGCATTACAATCCAGGACTTTTGTAATGCTCTAGGACAAAGGAGAACATAGGTAGCACTTGCTTGTGGGTAGGAAGAACAGGGCATTACAGTGGGTTCAGAACATAAGGCAGTTAGTGTGTCCCATGGACAAATGGGTGGAGGAAACTTCCTGTCTGTTTTAAGGAGTCAAAAAGACAAGGCCTAAGAACAACCTGAAGTTGAAATTTGACTTCAGATTAAAACAAGAACATGACCTTAAAACTCAGGAAGAAACAAGGATTGTCCAGGGAGTAAGGGTGATATAGAGCTAGTTAGCATGCTAGGGAATTGTGAATGAGCAGGTATGGCTAGAAGATTGTACCTGTGCCAGTGAGAAGCAGAAGTTTTGCAATCCTGGTAAGACTGGAACCTAAACCAGAGAAAGCCAGACTGTGGGGCTGGAGTCACAGTCTGAAAGCACTGAGATGGCTTCCTGCTTCTACCCACTCAAAGTTTCTGAAGGCTCAGAAGTTTAGGAAAGGTGACATGGCTCCATACAGGAGAAGAGTGAGGAAGAGAGCAATTGAGGAAAGGTCAGCTCAGAAATGGCTGAAAAGATACTATGTATACAATGGTAAAGCCAAACTGAGTGAAAAGGAAAATGGGACTGAGAACATGAAGGAAAGGCAATAGGAAAGTGATGACACCATACACAGAACTATCATAATCACATCCAACATACACTGTCAAAGGGGCTAGAAAAGCAGCCAAATAGTCTCTCACATCTCCTTTTACCACTGATCTGAATACAGAACACTGATACATCACCATGACAATGTTAATGAACAGTATCAGCAGTTTTTATTTAGATGCCCGACACTGTGCAATGCATTTGGCATGGATCATATACATTTAGTCCTCACAGCAGGTAAGTCCTATCTTTACCCCATTTTACATATGAGGAAATTGAGCCTCAGATGAAGGTCTATGGCAAGAGCACAGAGCTAGGGTGTGCCTCCATCCCAATTTTAAACCACCTGCTTGGCCAGAAGCTAACTTAGGATCCTAGACCCATGGAGAAGTCACATAGGATCTTAGGGACTCAATTTGTTCATCAGTGAGATGAAGCTGTTCTCAGAGAAAATTAAGGGTTTTGAGGAAGGACTGCTGTGAAAAAGTAGATTAAAAAATATATAGTTTCTGAAGAACAACCAAGATGTCAGCTTCTCGAGGATAAAGACAATTATTATCTTCTAGCTAGGATACATGAAAATGACATGCAGTTATATTGTCAAATAGAAAAACTACTAGGCCTGATTTTTAAAAAGACATTTATCTCTTCACATGTGCATATAATGATATGCAAACATATGTACACAGCTCTTTAAATGATTGCATGAAAACAGTGGGAAACACTCTTGGATCGTATTTTACACTCTCTTCTAGGTACAGAGGGGAATTTCCCAGGAGCAGTGAAGCTTGTGTTCTATTTGGAGATTAACAAATATACTTAATAAGGTATACAGTGTAGCATGAGTTTAGGAACAAAAAATAGAAGAGGGATCCAATGTGTGAGGGAAATTTGTGGGTTGAAATTTTAACACATAATCTGAGTAGGCCTCTTTGTAAAAGTGGCATTTGATAAAAAACTCTTAGATGAGGAAACCTGCAATGCATTCAGGCAGGAAGAAAAAGAAACAAAACAAAACAAAATAAATCTTCCAAAGAAAACAAAAACTGCCCAAATCTTGGAGAAGAATGATGCTGAGTATGTTCCAGAAGCACCAGAGATCAGCATGGTGGTAATTAAGAGAGATTTGTGGGGAGCTAGTGGGTTTAGATTGTGTAAGGCACATGGGTTATAGTGAGGACCTGGACTTTCACTGTGGATAAATGAGGGGAAGCTACAGAGAGTTTTGAGTAGACAAGGAACACACTGTGATTTATTCTTAAAGAAATCCCTCTGGTTACTATGCTGAGTGTAGAGTCAGGTACTTGTTTTGTAAATGTGGGTAACAGTGAAAGATTGGACTCAGCAAAACCAGTTTGTTTAATAGTAGTCCAATCTAGAGAAAATTATTCTAGCTAGACTGGTAACATTGGAGTCAGTGAGACAGGGTATATGGAGTTGACAGTTTTCTGGTGAATGGTGTTTGAAAGTGAGAGAGGCATTAAGCTCAGCACCTTGGTATCTAATCTGAACAATTAAAGGTTAGTATTGTCTCAGTATGTGTGAAATTGTTATAGGCTGGTGTACTTTTTGGTGGGGGCAGATAAGAAATTCAGGTTTTGTTTCTGAATATTAAATGGCAAAGTAGAGGTGGTGGTTATCTTGAATCTTGAGATTCAGAAACAGGGAGAGATGTTATGCAGGCTACTTTAATATTAAAATAATATGTCAAAGAAGTGAGGACACAAAAAGATAGTATGGGAGCCAAAGACTGAATTATAGGGCCTTCTCGCAAAAGGAAGGTATAGTGGTAGCTTGTTGAGGTAAAATATGTTAAGAGGACTTGGTATTAATTATGGTTCATTAAGACTAGCAGTGAAGGATAACTGAGAGGGAGAGAGGGAGGAGGAGAATTGCTGGAATGATGTATCTACTGCAAGGATAAGAAAGATTATTTCTGGTTAGGAAGATGGATATTCAGGATATAGGTATAGGTGCTGGTGGGTAGTATATGAGGCAGCAGGAATCTGTGATTCTTTTCTGGTTAATTTGTTTCAGATAAAAAAAAGCACCATCAATATTCCACATGAAAGTGGGGTGGGAGGTATAAAAGTGAGGAGAGGAGGTGGAATATTTAACTAGCAAAGTAAAATGATATGTGAAGTTAGGAAACGAAGCAGTAAGATTTGTGGTCAGACATTTAAAGTTGAACCAATTAACATGATTGTGTGTTTGCAGCACTTAAATTTAAACTCAGAGGTACAAATACAGAGAGGATAGATAATCTAATTAAACTACAGTATGATTTTTTTATAAAGAGGTGAAATAAATGATAATCTACAAGGATGTTCATAATCATTGACCATGAAAGATAAATTGAGTGAAATGGGAAAGTGACATTTTCAGGGTAATAAAGGATAGTAAGTGATATGTTCAATGGAAGAAAATTTATAGTAGAAGTGATAGGTAGCAGGGCAGGTAATATTAAAATATAAAAGGTACAGCTAGAGCATGGAATGAATGGGATTGAAAGAGCATTGACACTGCAGAAGAGCATTCATACTCTAAAGGGGATTATAGCTTCAGACTGTCTACTGCCCAATCTGTTCTCCATGCCATTGCCAGAGGAACCCATGTCATATACACATCTCACACCCTTGAACTCCCTAAGTGAGCCCTTACCAATTATATGCTACCCAGAGTCTGATAAAGCCCCTGTACAGTCTCACTCCAATCCATCTTTCCAGCTTATAACTGGAAGTTTTTCTCCCTGCCCGCTGGTACCCAAATAATCAGTCAGAAGCTTAATATTAATTCCAAACTGTTTGATTTATGGCTCAGGCTTACTGCTAACTAGCTCTTTTATCTTAAATTAATTCATTTCTATTAATCTCTGTATTGCCACATGTCTCATGGCTTTACCTGTGTTCCATTACATCTTGCATCTTGTTGTGTCTCCCCCCCCCCCCCCGCCCCAGTACTTAGCATCTCCCCTGACTACGCCTTCCTTCCTTCCTGTATCTTTCCTTGGATTTCCTACCTGGTTATAACCTGTCTTGCCATGGGCCAGAGCAGCTTCTTTATTTACCAGTGGCAGCAACAGATATTCACAGCATACAGAAAGACCATCCCACAGCACCAGCCTCTTCTCTGCTCACAATAAAGCATCCCAGGGACTCTGTTATACATCTATGTTAAGTCCTGTTTGCTTGTTTTTTGTAAGACTCTTTGCCTTTGAAGTTCTTTTTCCTATCTACAGAGCCCAATTTCACCCAACTATCACTCTTTATCAGCTTACTTTTATCAAGTATATTAAGATATGCTTAAAGGCAAGATGATCACCTTCTAAGCAGGGTTTGCTTTCCTTTGCCTCTGATTTAAGTCTTTAGCTTAGTGTATCTGCCTCAATTCCTTTTGTCCAAGCAGGAGCACATGGATAGAAAGGGTATGTTATATGTTCATGTGTTTACATATATATATTTCTTGATTTTTGACTGGTATTTCTAGTTCATTAAAAATTCTGGATGTTTCTGATATTATTCTGAAACACTGAAGAAAGAGTCCAAAATGTAGAAGTAAAGAGATGGTTGTGTGGATTCCAGAAAGCCAACCCTCCAAACATTCATAAGAACCATGTTTTCTATTCTAGATCTGTCATTCTTTCAGTCACAAAGTCCCTTTAAAAGCATACTCTCTTAATGGCAGTATAGACCTACTGATTCCTACTGTATTTCATAGATGGATAATAGCAGGTTCAGAGTGGGCTTCCCTCCAAAGTCACCTTGTCTACTTAAGCAGAGTCTCATAGTTGCCTTCAAACTTTTCATTTCCAAAGAAAAGACAAAGTTTTCACATCACAGAGGAAGACACACCTGGAGCCCAGAAGACCTTTATTTCAGATGCCATCTACTCTCCACATTATTAATTTTTTTCTGAAAATCACTCCTCCTTTATAATGTTCACAGATTCCTACTTTATTTTACCTTATCAAGAGAGTATTTAAGACTCAACTTTGAGTTTCATGATTTTTTAAGGGTTCTTATTTATGTGTTAATAAATTTGAATGCTATTATCGTGCCAGTGTGCCTACTGCATTTATTTCAGTTACCAAAACTCTAGAGGAATATTCTAAATTCCCTCATAACTATCTAACATAATTATTATTTTTGTTGTCTAATGGGCATCTTCAGAGTTATAGAAAACCAAATTTCCTTTGTCAATGAACTGAGTCCCTACAAGAATGCTTTCTGATCTTACATTCTCCATAATTTAAAATTAATTAGGATATTTATAAAACTGACAAAGGATTCTAGGAATCACTGGAACTATAGTCATTAAGTATGCTTTCAAGGGGATTTTGTGACTGAAAAAGTCACAGATTTAGAATCAAGAAAATTACATCTCATCTGTGTTCTATGGAAATCGTCTTTTCTAAATTACAGCATTTTTTCCAGCTTCAGTTTCCTCATTTGTAAAATGAGAGGTTTAGTTAGTATTTTTAAAGCTTCTCTCCATTCTGAAATTTCAAGAGTATATGTATAAACATGACAGTTTCCAAGAGAGATAAAACACACTTTATATGTGAAATCCTTGTAAAGGAAGTTACCTTGTTTATTGTCAAAGGAAGTACATATCTCCTCACTTCAGGCTGAGGTGCCTTCATGGCATTTCTTTTCACTTCTTCCCAGTTCTCACGCAAATTGGCTAAATATAAGTAATTATAAACAAATTCAAACCTGTGAAAACAAGAAATCAAGCATGAACACAATTACAAAGAATTTGTCTTGTTTTGTTTTGAAGCAGGGTCCAATGTAACACAGGCTGGCCTTGAACCTAAGATCTTCCTGTCTCTTCCTGCTAAATGCTGGGATTTAAGGCATGTACCACCACATCTAGCCAATTACAAACAATTTTAGAGGTAATTCATGACTTTGAAAGCACATATGTCTGATTGTTATTTAGGCAACAACCCAGACTGCTATAGATAAGAAGAGTTTTAGAATCACTTCCTTCTCTTATTCACTGAGGGGAAAATTAAGAGGTCTGCCTCATGGATATGTTGCAGTAACAGCAGCCTATATAATTGTTGTTCTGCTTCATTGTCTCCACTCTGTGTCTTCAGGAATCAATGCATTTTTAATTTATTCTCTATCCTGAGAAGAGCATGTCTGCTTCTCTTATTCAGAATGACGGAGGGAGGGTTCAAGGCATCTTATAGGCCTTGTGCAGTTTAAAGGTACTTTCCAAGTCATAGAACCTTCTATTTTCAGATCTGGTTCAGATCCAGTTGGTTTTTATTATTTAGTATAGTTCTGATGTTCAGTCTATTTCTGATTTTCTAAATTCTGATCATTATCAGTTACACTTTTTACTATTTCATACCACTCCCCTTTGCCCCCTTTCATATTAAACAACAAGGGCTTGCACCTCTATTAAAGTATTTTGTTTCCAGAAGAAACTGGACATAAGGCATTTATCCAACATATTTTCTTACCCTTTCCAGCAACAGAGATCCACAATCAGAAACCCATTGTCTTCATAAGTATTGATATGATGAAAGAGATTGAAAGGGGAGGTCCTGTATTTATTATTGAAGTATTTTCTTCTTTTTTTGTCAGCAACATGAAGCCAAACCTAGAAAAGTAGGAAAATATTTTGATAAATTTATAAAAAATAAAATATTTCCCTCAGTATCACAATTTAACAAATGAATAAATGAGTCAGACATACCCCCATGCTTTCATTGGACTCAAAACAATCCATGTAGTTTGCTCCCCAAAGACTCCACGAAGAAAGGAACTTGAAAAGATTAATTTTGACTGGAGTCTCCACAAAAACAATATAGTTTGGAGTCAGACCAAAACTGTTCAGAAACACAAATGGGCTTGTAAATGAGAGGGTCAGTTCTTGGTTACAAAGAAATAGGTCTATATAAAGTATATTTAGTTACTCAGATCTACAATACTTATATGAAATAATTAGCTTTAAACTTAGTTTTTTACAAGAAACTGTCCTGATCATGTAGACAAAGGATAAATTTAAATTTGAGCCGTTCTTTGAATTACCTGTGTACATAAGATGGCTTGAACCGATCACTGCAGGGGAACTGTACAACAATCTCTGACTTGTTTATTGGGTCTTCCTTGTCTGAAATAAAGTGGTTTTTAAGGCTTTTGATCATCATCATCATCATCTTCTGCATCATCATCATCATATTTAAAACAGCTTATACAAGCAAAAATACATTTTCAGATGTGGATCTTTTTTCAAAGCTTGTTTTCATCTCCTCAGTCACTGGGCTATCTTAGTAGAATTTTGTTGTTAAGGGGGTCTTGAGTAAGGGGTGGTTATCTCAAGGTCCCACTAAGTTCCTTTTGGGGTAAACACGAAAATTTGTACATCTTACAAAGAAGATTTTATGGTGATATTTTATTTGTACTGAAATATGATTTTAATTGTATGTTAATAAATAAAGTTGCCCTGGGGTCAGAGCTATTAGAGCCATAGCAAGAGCATGGTGGTTAGAAGAGTTAGGTAGATTTCTGTGTGTTCAGGGATACAGCCAGTATTTGGAGACATACGCCTTTAAGACCTGGAGGGCGGTACTTACAGGCAGTGACGAGGCAGTCATGTGGTTGGGTTTACAACCAATGAGAAGGCAGAACAGAAAGACTATTTAAAGACAGACAAACAGGAAGAAGCTCTCTCTCGGGGAAGCTAGGAGCACTGCAGGAGGTAAGATTTTATCTCTGAGCTCTGACCTCTCGGCTTTCTCTTTTACATTGGCTCTGTGTTTCTTATTTTAATAAGACGATTGGTTACATCTACAAGATTTACTCAAGAAAGTGAAGTGAAAGTTGGAGAGCAAGGAGACATTTGACATACGGTTAGATAAAGAACTGAAGCAGAGGACAAGAAAGTGGCAGCTGAGGGTCCTGGACAGAAAGTCACAGGTACAGACCTGAGGGCATCTGATGGGATGGAAGTAAGTTATAGATTGACAAGAAAACAAAGATACACCAGCCACAGATTGAATTAAAGAACAAATATCCCAAACTAAATTTTAAAAGACAAAATTTCTCCTATTGAAGGCACAGGAGAAGTTCACTTTTTATAAGCTCTTGGGGGTCTCCTTCCCTCAGGCTTCCCTCTCTTTTCTGATTGGTCCTAGCCCAGGTATCCTCCATTCAATAGGCTCTTTTCCTTTGGCCTGTCATTTACAGTCAGAAACAGTTTCTGTCTCTTCCAGGGAGGGGGAGCTTCTCCCACCCTGGAAGCATCAAGTTGCTCTTCTTTGAGAGGCCCATCTTGTTTCTCAGATCCATTCATGTTCTGCTCACTTCCCTTCACTGTGAAGATACCCTAACCTAGGAAAATCCTAACAGCAGCAAATTTTTAAAACACATAAGGAAGAGTACTATGGAGTCACATCTTAGAACAAGTGGAAGTCAGGTTTAAATACAGAGAAGTAAATTAGTGTTTTAGTGTGGGCAAAACCCCCTCATGGTATTGCAAATTTCCTTAAAACCATAGTATGGATGAGCAATATCAACAGTTTTGTCCAATAAGTATTATGCATACTAAAGTTCATGCATGAGAAAATAATACAAATGACTTCTTAAATCATGGCAATGAATTCACTCCCAAAATTTCTCAGTCTACCCAAAGAGTAACTCAATATTTTGCTTGGTATATGAGTAAGTGCTCAATAAATGTTTCATAAATATAAATTCAAATTACATTTAAATACACATATGCACTAGATCTTGAAATATTGTAGAATAGAACTTAGCCCCTTGTTTTATGGATTTTGAAGCCATCATTGTCTATTGTCCTGCTTCTGGACATTAGTCATCTAGGATAGGAATGAGAGAGAGTCTTATCAAGCCCAATAATAATCCTGATACTATAATCTGTATCCTATATTTCTAGCATTTTTGAGTGACTTACTTGCTTGCAGTGGAGGAATCTTAACAATGTTGTAGGCAACTGAAAAATTTTTCCCAAAGCAGTTGCCAATATTGTAAACAGTTCCATCACTTTCAATATGTGGATGAGCAGTGGCACCATTGACTGAGACATAGTTGCAAAGATCAACCTGTGGAATGAGAAATAAGTCTTGGGGGTCCTGTCAGCTTCAGTTGTACACTATGAGCAGGGCACTGGGTATAGTATTGGCATTGAGGTTGTCAGTAAACTAATGGCAGGATATCCAAACTCCTTTCTTCTATCTCTTTGAAAAAAATTACATTAATGTTATTTATAGTCCTGAATTCCATGACTGATCTCCTAGACAGCCCTTATCTCCTTTGTACTCCCATTTCCAAATAAACATTTTAAAGTATAACTGTGTATATAATTTCTTTTAGCAAAGACTTTCAGTAACTTTCCATTAGGAAAACAGTTCATTTCAAATTTCTAGCCTATTATTTAACCTTTCAGATTTACCCAACAGCATGCCACGGCTCGTTTGAAACTATTTACACTTCAAGATGACTAGTTCTCAGTTTAAATATTGCCCCCTACCTGAAATATCTGAGCCATTTTTGGCTCAGATCTAAAGACATTTCTCGTATTTAGCAGACAGGGTCAGGACCATCAAGCCCCTACAGTGTATGGGACAGCCCTACAGGGAAGGGCCATCTCCTGCCCAAAGCTTCCACAGAGAACTGTGACAGGTCTAGTTTAAAAAGATTATTCACAGTCTCTGCAAACATATCCCTTATTTTTCCATCTCTGTATCTTTGATAACACAACCCCTTATTCTAGAATGTTTTTTGATCAAATTTACTGAAGCTACATGTATTCAGAAAGTATATAAGTTCAAACTTTGATCTCTTTCTCCACCCTAAACAAGTACCTCGAGACATATTTCTGTATCTGCTTTCCTTAGGTTTACATTTTCTTAAAAGATTCACCACATTATGAATCCTTCTGTTGGGTGCCTATTTGATTTCCCCATCTAGAAGTTAAGCTTGCTAAAGACAAGCACCTTGCAAAATATGTTAACACATACTGGTTGAGACTGTGTGTCTATTTTAAGAAATAGTCATGAAGACTGCATAAGTTCTCAGCAAAGTGTGTCATTTTCTAATATTTTGGTTAATACTATTCCATTTAAAATACAACTTTATTTCTAATAAAAAGTGTCTACAAAGGACAAACTGGTGCAACACAGTTACCTACAACAATCAGTGGCAGGTTTTCAATATTAAAAGCTATAATTTTGAACACTGGTATTTATATCTTATAGGTCAGAGACAGTACTGTGTTACTCATTGATATATTCCTTGTATCTTACAAAAGTTTTTGATACATGGAAAAGTCTCAGAAAATATTTGTGTTACAACTGAATGAATGTTAGCTGTTTTAAGTGGTTTCCTCCCATCTATGTAAGTATTTAAAATGTCATAGATTAAGAAGTAAATTTTACCATACATATGTTATATGTCTAGCAGTTGGTGACCAGCAAGAAGTTGAAACTTAATATGCCTCATGTTCTTTCTGTTGAATTTATCCTAATGTTTTAATTCCCAGTTCCCAGTTTTATGTGCTTGAGCAATATTCCTTGAGCACAGTCTCCTACCTGCTTAATTGTCTCCAGGGTCTCTGGGTTAATTTTTGTGATAAAGTTAGTCTCTGTACAGGCATAGTAATCTTCTCCCACTGGGTAGATATTTACAAGGGCATTGTCAGTAACCTCCACTCCTCGAAAGTAAGAAAAAAACCTACAGAAGTAAATGATTTTTCCAGTTCAATAACTTTTAATCTACATGAACAAAAAAGGGCTGATATAAAATGCAATTTGGTTTTATTAACCTGGAAAATATATTCTTGCAGGGGTCTGGGAAAGCACAGGTGCCAAATTCTGTTATGACAATCCTCTTCTCAGTCATTGCCCGAACATAAGCATCAGTGCGGATGAATCTGAAGGACAATGAGAAATGAGGAAAGGATACATTCATACAGGACACATGAAAATACTCAATGTGTTTTCATCTAATTGGAAACATAAACTCAAAAAGAATAGGGAGAACCATCAGCTCCTTTTATTTGGATAACCAACAAAGGAATGAGTTAGGAAACTCATTTTATTGATAGGAAACTGAGTTGCCAAAACTTAAGTGGCTGATACATATGTGATTACAACCATGGCCAGCGTTAGAAAAAGTGAATGTGTCATATCATACCAGAAACCCACAATGTGGTGGGTAGTTTTCATCAACTTGACATAAACTAGAGTTTTTGGGAAAAAGTGAAGTTTAATTGAGAAGATGCCTCCATCTTCCTCCAACCCTCCAAATTGCCCATAGAAATACATGGGACATTAATTTTTTTATTAATGATTGATGTGGAAGATTCCAGCCCACACTTGGTGGTACCACCACTGAATAAGTGGTAATAGAAAGGCTGAAGGCTGGAATGAAGGTTTAGTCATTAAGATCATTGGTCACTCTTCCAGAGGAATGGATTCAATTCCCAGGACCCATGTGGTGGCTCACAACTGTAATTCCAGGGGATCTGACACCCTCTTCTGGCTTCTGCAGACAATGCACGAATGTAGCACATAGATATACAAGCAGGCAAACATAAACATGAAATAAAATTTCCAAAAACTTTTTTAGAAAGAAAGCAAAGGGAGGGGCAAAGAGGAGGAAGAGGAAAAGAGAGAGTTGAAAAAGACAGGGAAGGAGAGAGAGAGAGAGAGAGAGAGAGAGAGAGAGAGAGAGAGAGAGAGAGAGAGATATGCAACCAATAGGCAGTATTCTTCCATGGTCTCTGCTCCATTTCCCCAATTATTCCTGACATGGCTTCACATTCTGACAAACCGTAAAGTGTAAGATGAAATAAACCCTTTCCTTCCCAAGTTGCTTTTGGCCATATTTGTTTTTATTACAGAAATAGAAAACAAACTAGGACACACGGGTACTTCACACACGTTACTCATCACATTATAGGACACAGTGTGCTGGGTTATGTTCCTTTCATTATCCCTCTGACTTTGTGTTTCTCTTTAATTTTAGAATTTATTGTATACTTTAAAACTTAGTTATTATTGAATTTTATCTCTTCCACAAGCTGATTGGCTGAGCCATTCCCCAGACTACCTGGCAAATGCTGCCTAAGGTTTATCACATGAGGGCAAAGTAAGTTCTGATTTTGTGTGTTTATGACAAGGAGTATATATGAATGTACACACTAGAAGGTATATGAAAGCTTTGCCTGAAGTCCAAAATTGCTTTGCTAGAAAAATTTATGCTTGGCAGGCCCTGCTTCATTTTTGTCACTGTTCAAATCCTATTTCCAGTTTCCCCTTACTCTTCCTTTGATGTCTCTTCAAAATGCTTGAAATTCATGGTGACCATACCACTAGCAGGCTGGAACATTCAAATAGGAATCAGGGTATTTACTGTGTTGGTGTGGGGGCTTTTTGGAATGATGGCTTTAGCAATAACTATTGTTGTTATTATTATTAAAATTATTATTTCTATTATTATTTGTGCTGTGGGATGTCCTGTATGCTGTAAAAATATGTTGCTATGATTGATTGATAAATAAACGCTGATTGGCCAGTAGCCAGGCAGGAAGTGTAGGCGGGACTAGCAGAGAGGAGAATTGGGGGAATAGGAAGGTGGAGTCGGGGAGACGCCAGCCTGCCATCCAGGGAACCACATGTAAAGGCAACAGGTAAAGCCACGGAATATGTGGCAACATATAGGTTAACAGAAATGGGCTGAGTTTAGTGTAAGAGCTAGTCAGTGGTAAGCCTGAGCTAATGGCCCAGCAGTTTAATTAATATAAGTTTCTGAGTAATTATTTTATAAGTGGTTGTGGGCTCCGTGGTGCTGGGCAGGACTGGAGAAAACTCCAGCTACAATTATGTGTATTATATTAGGCTTGCATGGATGTCTGTGTACTACATGTATGCCTGTTACCTACAGAGGGCAGACAGGGGCATCAGATCTCCTTGGTCTGGGTTTGCTGCAGACTGTGTGAACTGCAGCTGCTAAGGTATGAGAACTGAATTCTGGGTCCTCTGTCAGAGTGGCTGCTGAACCATTGCTCTAGCCCTTTAGCCAAAAACTCTTGTTAAAAAATTTTCTGTCTCTGTCTTTCTCTGTGTTGCTCCTCTCTCTACCCCTCACATGTCTCTTCTCTGTCTCTCTCTATCTCTGGTATTTCTGTGACATACTTGGTCCCTTCTTCCTTTGTGGCACCCTTTCTCTTTCTCAGTTCTTAAAAAATTTTAAACACTGGTGTGTGTGTGTGTGTGTGTGTGTGTGTGTGTGTGTGTGTGTGTGTGTGTGTGTATACATGTACACTGGAACATATGCATGTGCCACTGAATGCATACAGAGTTCAGAGACAACTTGCTGGAGTCAGTTTTCTTCTACTATGTGGGAACTAAACTCAGGTGGTCAGACTTAGTGGCATGTAAGGCTTACCTACTGAACCATTTCACAGGCCACTTTCTCAGGTCTTTCTGATGATTAAAAAACCCAAGATAAACAGTAGTCTGATAATTACAACAGTAATAGCAGCTTTTGCTTCTACTACATTCTTGCTACTCATTTAGTCATGAGTAGATTCTACTATTTCTTTCATTTTATAGATGACAAATAAAAGAATTAAAAGCCAATTTCTTGCCAGAAGTCATCAGTGAAGACAAGCAGTGCCTGGTGGATTCAGGATTTGAAAAAAGGCATGTTTGGCTCTGAGCTCTTGAGCCTATCTTGTTTTAGCATATATATGGACCTTGCAGATATACAGACATCCACAGACCATGAAGAAAAAAGAAAGAAATGAGTTTGGAGGTTTGCTCTGTGTTCAGGAAGATGAAAGTTCACACAAGGGGAAAGGTTCCAATAAGACAGGCTCCACTCTGGTGAGGACAGCCATGAAACAGTGCTGACTTACCTCCTATGGTATGTGACTTGGCCCTCCTTAAAGTCAAACTTGTGCAAAAGAGCTTGTCCATCAAACAGGTGATAGAAGGGCTCAGATCCAACTTCAAAGAGCCCTGGCCCACATCGAAGGAGACTGCCAGCAAGCCAGAGGGGAATTCTACCTGCAGCAAAGTGAGATAGCAAGTGGTGCCACTTACTAGATTCCCCAGGTGCCTGTCCATTTGTCATTTCTCTGCTTACCTTTGGATGGAACATCAGGCTTTCTTATGCACTTTGGTGGATTGAAAAGCAGAGGGAGTAAGGGCCAAAATATTATAACTAGGAATGTTGATATGGTGGCAGGAAAAGTTTTTTTTATATATATATTTTGAGACAGGATTCCACTGTGACACCTTTGATGGCCTGTATACAGTTTATAGACCAAGCTGGCCTCAAACTCAGATTCATCTGCCTCTATATCTTGAGAGCTGAGCATAAAGGTGTGCACCACTGTACCTATGTAGAAAAACCTTTTAAATGAAGCAACAGGAATGCTGAATTTTTAAAATCTAAAACTCCCATTTCTCTTGGGGTGTGAATCAGCACCCTTGATGAAATTCATCCTCTGTGGCAGAAAAGGTACAAGGCTAGGTGTAGGGTCTGAACTCAGATGAGAAACAATCCTGGGGATTTCCATCTTCCACAGTGAGGCTTGGTCAGTCCTCTTATCACTAGAAAAAGTACAACATGTTTGCTAATTTCTTACCATGTCTTTATTTTCAAACAAGTAAGAATGAAGACTACAAATCAAGGTCACTAGCATACAGGACATCAGATTAAAAACTGAAAGCATGCACATTTTGATACCAGAGCTAGATTGTTGGCACAACCATCCAGCTGAGGAGCACTGACTTCTCTTTTATAGAGCAGGAAGCAGAGAAAAGATTTGCCCAAGCACTGACATTTCCCCTAGCATCCTGTTATAATCAGCAAGGCCTCTATGAGTCACATGGGGTCTTCAGACAGAGTTGACAATAGTAAAAGTGACTGCTGTCTATTGCTTACTTGGTGTCTAATACTGGGTTAGTAATTCTACTTAAATTACCTCTTAGTTTTCACAATATCCCCACAAAATAAATGTTGGTCTTTAGAAAGTGAAGGAATTGAGGTAAAAATAATCAAGCCACTGATAGGAACCTCAGATAGTGAAATAATAGGGTTGTAACAACACTGCCACCTGCAAGTGCTTCTGATGTAATAGGCATGACACCACTCTCTTTCAATGAAAAACTATCAGACACTTGTCACTAGACTCTCATTTAAGACCTTTGTTGGACAGACACTTATAAAACATTTTCTATATGGTGAGCATTGAACAAGGGACTGTTAGATTGAAGATGACAAAGATATAGTCTTCATTCTCAAGGAATTTCAGTTAAATAACAACTATCTACACTGTGGAAGTAGAGTGGAGGTAAATGAGAGAAGAGGAATTCTTATTATTAAAACCTGAAGTTCAAAAACAACATCAGAAGCTATCCTCAAAGCCCTGAATGTCTTAAATTTCTTCTTTCCATTTTACTCTTCATTTTTCTTCCAGGTTCAGATCCCTCCAATTTTTAAAAAAATTATTCACTCTGTGTATATGTGTATGGGCATGTGCCAAAGCAAGTATTTGGAGGTCAGAAGGCAACTTGGAGTTGGCTTTCTACATGTGGGTTTGGAGTCAAACTCAGGTTTATCTAGTTTGGTGGCAAGGACCTTTAACTTTACCTGATGAACTGTCTTACCTGCCTCGTCTAATTTTTTTCTAATGAATTAACAAGTCTTGGGCCAGTAAGAACTCACTAGTTACACTAGAGTGGTATTCAGGTTTATTTGATTTACTTTTACTTAGTAAAACATTTTAGAGAAAAACAAAACAAATGAGCTCTGTATTCCCTTTCCTGTATTGTGGAAACAACCAGCACTGAGAGACCTGAATAAATATGAAACCTGAAAAAAATGGTCTTGACAGAATAGAAAGATTTCAGAAGAGCTAAACTGTGGTGGCCTGAACCCAGTACTCAGAGGCTAAAGCAAGGGGGTGTCATGTTTTACACCAACCTAGGCTATACAGCAAGACTACAGTTTAGAAAACACAACAAGAAAGCAAAGATGAATGAAACTAACCTGTGACATGAGCTGTTAGTGGTGAGGACAGTTCCTCCACAGTTTCAAATAGCTTCTTATAGCCACCAGCAGGATGTTCAATTCTGAAATGTGGGGGTAATAGAAAGAAGCCTAGGTTTATTCTCAAAGAGTCCCAGGGGTCAGAGGTAGTGCTCTTGGAGAATAGTGCTTTAAGGACAATTTCCAGTTTGGCTGCAGCCCAGCCTATTTAGGGTTTTATGAGATGCCCCTCAGGCCCTTCCTTTCATGTCAAGGAGAATATCCTCACTTTTAATAACAGTGGTCATATGGTTCTAATCCCACTTTCTGCAGTTTTTCATGCTCTAGTCTTGCTGTGCTCTCTTCTCTTCCTGAATTGTGGCACCCACAAGGTTCTTCTCAAGAATTTAGAGACACACAACTGAGGCATCTCTGACCTTCTCATGGACTCATTCAGGGTCAAGTGCACCACCCTTAGTTATTTATCATACTATGCTATTAGTTCTTCCCAACATCTCATGTCTCTACCAATTCTCAAGAGCTATAGTACTTTCAAAAAGTAGATCAAAAGATTCAGGTCCTGTACTGTTTTGTGTGGGCCGATTTCTTATGTCTTATCTTTGCTTCTGTTTTATAACTTCTTAAAGTGCAGTCCTGACTAGACCTCCTAATTATAACTACTTTTTATCAATCACTTATCATTAAACATTTTACAAAAAGAATCTCATATTGTACTTGAGCATTTGAATCTTTCAACACTACAGTAGGGTAAGTAGCATTATGATATTACTTCTGAAGTTGGAAAAATTTTTAAGAATTAAGTAATTTAGACTTAAAAGCACATGTAATTTGCCAAAGACACACAGGTATAAAATGACCAGACAAAGCTTATCTCTGTGTTCACAACTGCCTTCCAGGCCCATTGCAATTTGTACAGTCTTACCACCATCTGAATGTGAACTTTGTATATTCAGTTCACTGCAGGAAAAAGTGTCTCCAGCTAGGCCCAAGGGTCTTCTTAAGCAAGCCACCACCCAATACTATCTCTCTAAAACAACCTGAAATACTCCATTTACTACCACAAAGGCACAATACAAGCTCTCTCAGAGATACTTACTGGATAGACATTTTCTCTCAGTGAAGACTATAGAGAGTTCTGGCACCAGCTTTAGGACAAGGAAACAAGTCCTTAGCCAGGACTTTTTTTGTATTCCATCTAATCCCCGGAAGTGCCAGTAGCTCTGGGAATCCTCTCCACCCCTCAGCTGATACAGGGTAACAGAAGTGGCTTTCAGCACTTTAGATACTTGCACATTATTTGGACTTGGTGTTTCCATAACAGTGTTTTGGCTGTTTTCCACAGACCTGGATCCTTCCCAAGGACAATGAGAAGTGGGTTGGATAGAAAGGAGCTGTGTGGGAATGACATGACAGTCCTGAGCTGACTTCAGTCACCACACTTTTTTTGGTATCCACCTCTGTCCACTAACTCTTTGCTATCATCTTCACCCTCATTCATTTACTCAATTATTAAAAAAAAATCTTTTGTATATGATCCAGAACTTGTTAGAGACAGCACAGTCATTATCCTCATGTTGTAATTGTCATGGTGACCAGGTACAGTTTAATAAAATTTGCTAGTGCTAACATTGGAGGTGTATGGGGTGCTATCATCACATGTTATATCCTTCTTTAGCACAGTTCAGTACCCAGGTCCCTTCAACAAGGCTGTGGACTTTAGCTGTTATTTATAGTTGAGGAGGAAACACTACATGCTCTTGCTTATCACCACTACTTACCTGTTGCCCATCACTGTCTGTCCTGACTATTACATTACTCTTTTTTCTGTACTCAGAAACTAAACAATGCTGTTTTATTCACATGTCCACATTCATTTTAAGTTACTGTTATTATTAAGGACAGACATGTACTGTTTATTGGAGCCCTAGGAAAACAGACAAGATAGAGAGAGCAACAATAGCATTTTTTTTTCAGGAAAACTGAGAAATAAATTTAAATTTAACAAATGGTTATCACTACCCACCCTTCCACAACAAAGCTGTAGAACAGTCAATCTGACTACTCAGAAAGATACTAGGAACTTTCCCAGCTTGCTTGCAGCATGGGCTCTGGCCCAATAAGAGGCAGAATGAGAAGGTAGTGGTATCACCTAGTGCTTGGTCTTACTGGAGGTTCTGCTCATCCATAATAGTCATTAGACAACTTAAGACACTGTGTAGAGGAGCTTAGGTAATAACTGGACAGTTAAGTCTCCAAGTTCCATCTTTTAAATATTCTATAGATTATGCTAGCTACCTAACATTTAACCTACATGTACACTGCTCTACATAGTTAAAGTTGGTTTCACTTTTTGCAACTAAGTGTCCAGTTTCTATAAAATTATGGTGGTACTCAGGAAGAATGTCTCTATTTGTTTTAGGAAGTCCTACAAGAAAAAGAGCAATCTGAGCTAGGAAGACTATATATAAGCCAATGAAAGTACAAGCAATACAGAGTTCAGGCCAAGCTTAGAATATTTATAAAGTTTAGATGTGAATGTAATACAGTGAACTAGAAAGAGGTATAACTGGCTGGAAAGGTGGGTTGTGTGTGTGTGTGTGTGTCTGTGTGTCAACTTGATATAAGCTAGAGTTATCTGAAAAGAGGAAACCACAACTGAGAAAAGGCATCAATAAGATTGGCCTGTAGTCAAGTCTGTGGGGCATTTTTTGTGATGGATGAGCCTAATCCATTGTGGGTTATACCACACATGGGTATGTAGGTAGTCTTGGGTGCTATAAGAAAGCAAGCTGAATGAACCATGGGGAGCAAGCTAGTGAGCAGCTCTCCTTCATGTCCTCCACTTTAGTTCCTTGCCTCCAGATTCCTGCCTTGATTTCCTGCCCTGATTTACTTCAGTGATGGAATGTGACCTGAGAGCTGTAAGAGTAAATAACCCCTTTCTCCCCAAGGTTTTTTTTTTTGTTGTTGTTGTTATGATGTTTCATCCTAGAAATAGAAACCTAACTAAGATACTGGTCTAGAAAAAATGGTACGTCAAGCTTTGTAGAATATTGTCTCATGTAAGAATATCAATAGTTTGTCATGGGAAAAGGCTTCACTGAAGAATAACATGATCTACTTTGCATTTTTAAAGGCCATTTATATTATGGTTGTGATACTAGAATGGGAATTTTGGATAGATAAATCAAAGGGAGGAAGATATCAAACAAAGGAAAATGGCTCTCATGGAAGCATACACTGGTGATGGGTATACATGGTCAATTTAAAGAGTTGTTTTACAGGAGGCCTGAACAAGCTTTGTGATTAGTACATGTTCTGGCAAAATAAAAGGCCAAAGAGATGAGCACTAGTATAATTCATTGGGGCAAAGAAAGAGCAAGAGAAAGAGGGGGGGGGGCAGGTAGGCAGGCAGGTAGACAGACAGACAGGCTGAGAATGGTTTGGGTTTATTTGATAAAAACAGACCACTGAGAGATCACTCAAGGGCACTACATGGAAACAGATTAGTTTGATGGCCTATTGAAGAGAGATATAAGACAGGGAAGATGATGGTAGTATAACAGAAGGTAAGGTAGTAAGAAGTTGGAAGGACAGGTTTCAAGACTATTACTTTTATTGGATATATTTTTCTCCTGAGGCTTTCCTTGGATGTAGATGTATGGTTTATTTCATAACACTGTACACTTCCCAACTTCCCAGAAAATAAAAATTTTAGTATTCCTGGTGCTCCTCCCTGCCCCAAATGTCTTTCTTTGGTAGTTCTGGGTTGCCTTTGTTGTCTTAGGATTGAAACCATGTCTTTAAAAACAAGAACTAGCTGTTTTTTCAGTGTGTATGTGTGTTTGTATGCTGTTTTGAACATTTGTTATTCTTATTTTTACGTGCATAAACTCTAGAAATTAGCACCTTGAAGGATGTGTTTTCAAAAGTAAAAATCATGGTAAGTCATTTATGGAAGGTTTGAAGGTTAAGAGCTCATGTATGTTAAGTTAGTATGCTTCGATAAAATCTAGATGAAAATTGGTTTCTGACCAGGGCTGGTGGTGTAGGTCTATAATATTAGGCACTCAAGAGACTGAGGCAGGAAGATCCTAAATTCAAGTGAGCCAACTTAGTGAGACACCCAAACTCAAATTATAAAGTAAAAGGGACTGGGGATGTAGCTTAGTGGTAGATTGCTTGTCTAGTATGTGTGAGACCCTAACTTTAATCCTCAGTACCTCAAACAAATAACTAATAAATGAAAACAAATATATACACATGCAACCACCACCAACAACAAAACAAACAAAAACAGGAGAACAAGAACAGAAACATCAATTACCTCCAATTTCTGGGGATACTGCATTGAATCCTGAGTCAACTGGGTGTAAGCATGAAAATATTTAAAACGCTCACCCAACACTGGAGATTGAACTAGGGCCTTGTGGATTCTAGACAAGAACTTACCACTAAGTTATGTCCCCATCCCCAGATCTTCAAATGTACTTTTTATTTAGTTATTTTAGCCAAAAGTGATAACATAAAGATCAAGTAATACCTGCTAATTTCCACTTTCAGGAGATTTGATTTTATATCTAGTATTTTGTTGATGATCCAAGTACACCTATATTGTCATTGGTGTAAAGTTAAAGGTCAGGTGTACTCACCCTTCCACAATGTCATTTTGGCCTCTTTGCCCATAATACCCAGATGCAGACTTCTCTGAAGACCTAAGTTGATCTTTCTCCAATGAATTACTATTTTTTCTACCCATCTTCTTCTCTTGTTAGCTCTCTTAACTTTTTATCACTTGGTAAAACCAGATATTCATGTTCAACTATATGAACTATTTCATTTTGATACACTTTGGTACATTTACTAAAACAATATTCCCTGAATTAAAGTAGAAAAGCATTTCCATGAAAGATGTTTCTATACTTCCTGGAAGAAGTCATTATTACAAATGCAATTGAAATTGCTACTTTGTCTTGGCTCCAGGCCTACTTCACTGTGACCCGTAGTGGGGAGTGAAGACTGTATTCTGAAAGCAGGAATGATGCTAGAGGGTGTTAAGTAGAAAGACTGAGGCAGTCTTTGATTTGTGAACAAGCCACTCACAAATATTTGTATCTGAAGAGAAATAAAAGGATCAGACTACAATGAAACAATTCACATAGGAAACAAGCTGGTGGAATTGAGATGCTTTTTAGGTTTAGACTACAGACATTGCACCGTATGAGTTTTAGAAAAATGGGGTGAAAGACATATGACTTCTCTTTTGTCAGTACTTTAGCACAAGTTAAATATCAAATGTCAGTGCCATCTAACAGTAAGAGGGGCAGTTGGCTGTGTGGATCTGCTGACATAGCTGGACTTGCTCTTAGAATCAGAATTTGTGATCAGCTGTTGATTGATCAGGGTCTTAGTGAAATAGGTGGTGTGACTCCACTTTACTAAGTGTGTCTCTACTGCAAGAGGCCAGCCTATTTATTCTTGCCTAGTAGAGATAAAATGAATGGAAACACAAAAATATCATTTAAGATCTAGGCTCAGAAAAGATCCATTCATGTAGGCAGTGTTGTGTTTAGAGCATTACCACAAGTACTCAACTTTTTTGTTGAATGTAGTTAGTAGAGGCCTCTGAAATATTGCTTTCACAAACTAAGTAGGCAAGAAAAAAAATTTGTTTATAAATGAGTGCTCAAGAATTTGGCTTTCTTCTACTAAAGAATTTGAAATATCTTACTTAAAGTCTTGATTATACTTTGATTTTAATTAATCAGCTCTTGAGTCACATTCATGAAAATCACTAAAAACGGATTCTGAGTCAGCCTTGTTGGATTAATGGTGGCTCAGCCATGAAAAGCCTGTGGTACTCTTATAAGTTTTCAGGTCCTGCCAACTGGGTGACAGAACTGGTTCATAATATGAAAGAATTTTAAATACGGATTAAAGTTACTTAATTTTCTTCTGGAGGCATCAAACAAAGAGTTATTCTGGTAGCATTAAAAATCTTGGTGGTGCTGATACAGTTTATGGAATTTTGTATTGATAGCTCTTTGTTACAAGTAGAAAACTGGATTACCAAACAAAAGATAGAAGTTAACAGAGTTGTGTATGTTCATTATTTGTTGTTTGTTCCTTCACTTAGAAATTTTCCTGATGACAGTGGCCCTGCTATATGTCACTGTAGCAAAAACTGCATTACTTAATAATAATTACTAGATAT